TAATATTGTTTTCGTTTGAGATTGCTTTTAATTTCATGGAACTAATTTGATAAAGTCGTGATTTTCCGGGAAAATCAGATGCGTATTAATAACAACGTCGTGAAAACAACGCATTGATTTTGGTTGGTTTATCATATTATATCATATGCCCTAAAGTTATATCATATGCCCTAAAGTATTCTGCCAAATCATTTGAAGTATTTTCAGGTGAATTAAAAATGTTCAAAGTGGGACAGCTAGTATTCAAGAAAAGAGAATCGTCAGTTGTTAAGATATTCCAAATCGTTAGTTTCCTTCTATGAATTAGTTGATAGAGTGCCACGGCTTTTAAGAAAACTACTTAACCAGGAATGATTAAAGGGAAACCTGATATCATCTCTTTGAAAATGATACGATAGCCATCATGAAAATTATGTTGACCGTTATGGAATATTTCTGTTACAAATGGTGACGATTGTATTTAATCAATCATTTAGAAAATCCCGTCCTCTTTTCTTCGTTCATTCCCTTATACGACTTGTCACTCATATTTTTGGAGTCATGACCAGATGCGTCGACAGTGTTATCGTATACTGCTATGCCTGCATCACCCGCCATCCACAATCAGTCAAAATTACCCAATCGGTAAAATTGGAGATGAGACGATTATTCTGGTATCTAAATTCTAAGACTGCAGAAACATATCGATAGTGAATTGAGACAAAAACTCAGGGTATCATCGAACCAATTCCTGATAGTGAACCTTATGAGCAAGACGACAGATGGCCCTTGTACAAATTATCTATAGATAGTTTCGGTTAACTAATTCGTGATTGTCAACCAATTCATGAGCAGGACGACAGGTGAAACTAGTACAAATAATCTATAGATCGTTTCGGTCAACTAATTCGTAATCGTCAACCAATTCATGAGTAGGACGACAGGTGAAACTAGTACAAATAATCTATTGATCCTTTCGGTCAACTAATTCGTGATTGTCAACCAATTCATAAGCAGGACGACAGCTGTAACTAGTACAAATAATCTATTGATCCTTTCGGTCAACTAATTCGTGATTGTCAACCAATTCATAAGCAGGACGACAGCTGTAACTAGTACAAATAATATATAGATCGTTTCGGTCAACTAATTCGTGATTGTCAACCAATTTAAAGAATCTATAGATATTTTCGGAAATAACAATCGGTGAATGAATTGAACAAATAACTATTTGCGATATTTCATCAACAAAAAATATGATAGAACTAAAATGTCAATTGTTCGTGAACAAATGAGAGGTCTTTCCTTTTCGTAATGTAAAATATATGTTTAAATAGATGTAAATTACATTGAAAATAAAATTGAGAATGTAAATATGTCAAAGAGACAACAAACCGACCAAAGAACAGATAACAGCCGAAGGCCACCAATGGGTCTTCAACGCAGCGAGAAAATCCCGCACCCGGAGGTAGTCCTCAGCTGGCCCCTAAATAAAATTGTGTACTGGTTCAGTAAAAATGGACGACACACTAAACTCCAAAACATACAAAGGAACTAAAATTAAAAAAAATCATTAAACACACATAAAACCCTTAAAAATTGTCAAAAAAAATAAAATTCGTGATCTAAGTCATGACCTTGACTTTTGACCTTATGATCTTTGTCAATGTCATTTGTCCCCGGTGTCATTGCTAGAGACATCGTGGGTCTAGGAACTTTGGTTTAGGAGTTACAGTTAATTTTGTCTTTTCAGAAACCGCTCTTCGATCGAAATGTACCAAAGTTGCGCCTTTATGACCCAAACATTTATCACTATTGACGATTCCTGTACGTATAAGGGTGTCTGAGATTTCCCAAAACAAGTAGTAAGGTCAAAGGTCAAGGTCAACGCCAAAAAAAAGCTTAAAAACACAATGAAAATCGTTTGAATAATGTCAAAAACAATTAATTCGCTATCTGGGACATGACCTTGACCTTTGACCATGTGACCTTTGTCAAGGTAATTGGTCCCAAATATCGTTGCTAAAACCCCATTGGTTTAAAAGTTAAAGCTATTTTTGTCTATACAATAACCGTTAAAAGGGGTTATTCCCCTTACGGCAAGTCAAATCTCTTCGGTCAAAATGTAACAAAGTTGCTCCTTAATGACCCATACATTTTCCCGTATTAAAGGCATCAGAAAGTATAATTGATTCTGAGATTATCCCATAACAAGGTGTATAGTCAAAGGTCAAGGTCAAACATTTGACCTTGAGGTATTTTCAAGATCACATAGATTGATTATCATTGGTGAAGATCCTATGTGGCCACGACTTACGGTTTCTGAGTTTAAGTGGCCAACAGACATCGGTTAATTTTCAAAAGGGCATAACCCTACCAATGAGTCTTCGAATTTTTTCGATCAAATGGTAACGAAGAACCAAGGTATGGTTTCACCCTTCGGTTTTTTCTACCAATTACGATTAGGGTGTTTGAATAATAACAAGGTTTTTAGGTTTCGGGCAGATAACTCCGGACCGACAAAATTTCACGACTCACAGGGTGAGTTCCGGATAGGTATTTGTGACACCTATACAAAGTGTGAACCCGAAAGCGACATGGCTTACGGTTAAGGCTGCTAACTTTGTCAAAGTGCTGCGAAAAAAGAGGGGAATGATTAATCAACTCATTAGTGGTATTCGAATCAAAACAGTTGAAAGCCCAAACCAATAACGAAGTTTAAGAGCATTAACAAAGTATGAATATTCCATAACGTAGTGCCAAATCAGGCTAAAGCTATCCCACTTTGGGGTTGTTAAAACGTTACTGTTACAAAGAGATTTTTTTTTATTTATGAACAATAAAATTCAAAGGAAATTACCGTACCAAAGTGTTTCTTGTGACTAGTATGTCTGGTGATATCCTCGGGTATGAGACAATCACCGGCAGTGGCATCGACCCAGTGGTTGTGAAAGCTCCCAAAGATACCATAGCGTATAACTTGGTACACCTGACACGTACTTCGATTACAAAAGACCCACCAGTTGTACATCAAATCAAGACTGTTCGAACGCAAAATCAATTATGAAGATTAAAAGCATTAAATATGCAAAATATGGATAAGGAAACCCTGGGGTAGAAAAAAGCCCTTAGTGCTGCATTTTATAAATAGCAATTTTCAGGAAATTACTGTATCAATTATATTATACAGGGGTCTTGTTTACTAGCTATAGACTGGTAATACTCTGTTGCAAATCGTCCAATAGCAGTGGCATAGACCAATTGGTTATCAAAACGCAAAAAATACTAAGCTTATTATCTGGAACGTTTCATCTACATGAGACTCTTCAGTTGCGCTCGAATCAAAACAGTTGGAAGGCCAAATCAATAACAAAGTTGAGAAGCATTGAAGTCCAAAAGAAGAAACCTTAATGTTCCTTCGGATTTTTACATTTTATGCCCGGTAAATTTTCAGGAAATAAGTGTATCAATAATAAACTCATCATAGATACGAGAATTAAAATTTTGTACGCCAGACGTGCGTTTTGTCTACAAAAGACTCATCAGTTATGCTGGAATCAAACAAAATAAAAGGGCCACATACAGTACGAAATTGAAGAGTATTGAAGACTCAAAATTCCCAGTCAAGTACAGCTAAGGTATAATAAAAGATAGGCAAAAGATACCAATTGGATATTCAAACTCATAAACAAACTGACAATGCCATGACAACATCCGAAAAATGACGAAAAGACAAACAACAGTACACAAAACAAAACATAGAAAACCAAAGATTGAGCAACACGAACCCCACCAATACCGACGGTAGTCTCAGGTGTTTTTGAAGTTAGAGCAAATCTTTTTCGACATGTGGCACCCGTCGTGTTGCTCATGTAAGTACAAGCCAGGTAATAAGTCTAATTCGGTAGGTCACAGTCGAGGAAGAGTGGACGGGATTGTGGTTACGACAATTGGAACAAATCCGTCGTCATCTGTGAAACAGATATTCCATAACGGTCAACCAACTCGTGATGGCATTCGTTAATGTTCGAATGAATGATTTCAACTTCACCAATTAGAACTCTTGGTTCAATAGCTTGCTTATAAGCAGCAACCCTCTATCATGGAAATCATGTTAGGAAATGGAAGCTCTGGAATAGTGTATCAACTGAAAGATATATACTTCATATGCAGGTGCAACTGGAATTTTCCTACATAAAAGCCAAGATATGAAACAGACGTTACTGATTTCTTGAAAGATCTTTTTGAATTTTCTGTAAAAAATGTTTCTCTTAAAAAGGATATTGCTAGATGTAAGTCAATAATATCATATATCAGCAAATACTACAAAGTACACTAATGATTAAGCAACTAGAACCCATTGTTTATAACGCTGATACGTACTATAACAACGATTAATGTTTCCAGTTACGTACTAGTCAGTCTAAATATCTTCATAATTTGAGGTCTCCGCTTTCACCAGCACGCCAGTTTTATCAATTCTTTGTGAATTTGTTTCTTCGTACTTTTGATAGCAGATATATGACTGAAAGTGTTTGGTTGTACACCACATTGAATTTACTTTGTGAATATGAAGTTGGCAACAAAATCGAAGACCATGACATTCAAGAACTGTTCGACAAGCTGTTCCAAAGAAGACAAATACAGTGTTAGGTTGACAAGTCTTATGAATTCTTTGTGAATTCGCGCCCACCAACCCAGTGCGCGACAAACTTAGTTTATCCCTTTTTAAATGGTTCAATTAGTTTACGAGAACAGATACTACTGCTGTTTTTTGCAATCATTTTGACAGTTTGTAACGTCTTGAAGTGGATCATTCGCTATTGTTGTGATGACATATGTAACACAAAAGTGACAACAGTCAATTTTTGTTGTTATCTTTAACATGTTTAACAAAGGTCGTCTATGATATAACCTTGGAATCAATCGCTTTAGGTGTGTCACATAATTTATCAATCATATTGACGATTTTACTTACAAATTATCTAATTCTAAAACAACACATCTCTTAAAGTTGCAGAAATAAATGAAGGTTAAACAACATCTTAAGAGGGTTTGTGTTTCACCATATTAAACGAGAAAGTAATAAGTTATCTTCGTTAGGATACATATCGTAGTTGTAACTGTATAAAAACCTTCAACAAAACACTCAACGACACACACAACCGCGCACGAGCAGTTATTTGTACAAAGACGTTTTGTTAATTATTTTGTCTTGTGTTATTTCGTAATGATATTGCATATTTCAGTCTGTCCCAAAATAACACATCTCCAATTTTAAGATAGGTATGTGAATTGAGAAAACTTTTCAAATCAGGATCAACATTATCCAAAGTTATATTACCCTTCAACACAATTATTAAATGACGACCTTTATCGTGCAAATTTTTCCTCAAAGCCGTTCGAAACTCCATCATGCACCATTCACTTTTCAAGAACTCACTGGATACAAGTAAAATTGTATGATGGCTGTTTCCAACACTGTTGAATATATTATCAGCTATAGTATTACCAACTACAAAATCTCTATGATGAAGACAGAGTCTGCATGCTTTCCCAGCGTCATCTGACTCCAACTTTGGTAAAGCTGTACGTATAACCCAGTCAGCATCTTTCTCGCTGTAGGCAATAAATGCATCATAGTCTTTCTCTTCGTTTATGTCATTTTTGAATTCACACGGACAGTTAATATTGAGTCGAGTAAATAAAATGATCTTGAACAGATCTCTTAAATAGATTACAAGCAAAATGATTACGAAAAATGTTATTGTTATGATGCTCATAACGACTATTGGAAAATTGATGAACGTTTCCTTGTTACAGTTTAGTTCTGTAAGAGACAGACTTAACAGCTGACGTCCACGGACATTTGTGGGATTTGCACACTCTAGCGACCCGAGGTAATCATAAGCTTTTGGCATAGTCTTTGAAGATAGATATTCAATTACTTCAATTATTCCACAGTCACATAAGAACGGATTTTCACTGATATCGACTTTAAAAAATGCGTGAGTTGAGAACGAGTCTACCATACCTTTTGTTAATGAAGTTATATCATTACGCCGTAAATCTATTATACCGACTGATTTTGTCTCTTTCACACTCATTCCGTAATCTCGTATCATTGGAAGAACCTTTACGTTATTATTGGAAAAGTCTATATATTCCATCACTGGGAATCGTAGTCGCCAGCCTTGTAGTTTATAAAAAGTGTCAAACATACCATTATAAGAAAAATTTAAAATTTTAAGATTTTTTGCAACGTCAGTATGAACAATCTTATTGACATCATTTTTTTTTAAATCCTTCATTCCACTCATTTCAAAAACCTCAAGGTTTTTGTACAAACAGCTTCTCTTCTGAGTGTTAAAATAATGATTATACTGCTTCATTACAGTGCCGAAATCAATAAATAAATCATAGTTGTGCATATCTTCAAAGATAATCTTTATTCTTCTCTTTATTATTGAAAAAGCATTTTCCGGTCCGCATTCTGCAGCTCTTGTTATAGGCGAGTTAGCTTTTGACATTGAGTCATATATTTCTCTGATCTTTTGAATGATTGTAACGTTCTCCATTTGTAGATATTTTATTGTGTCGGGAATGCTGTCTATCAATGGATTCTTGTATTCAGTTCTGTAATCCTTAATTCTGCAGTCTTTGATATAAATTCTATTTAGTTTGTCTGCTCTGAACGGCCAGGGAAAGTGTATGATACCGTCTTCACATGTGACGGATAAGTCAAATCTGATATTTGATGATACTCGATAGGTAAAATTTTTAAATTCTGATAACTTTATACTTGAATCACTCTTAACGATACACACAATGTTAAAGTCAGTTTGACCAGTTTGTGATATATTACATTGTCTACTCCAGTTCTCCAGACTTTCAAACTCATTCGTAACATCAGAAAGATTGGTAAATGTATCCATGGAATTATTCATCTGGTGTTGTTTTGTCACCAAATCATTATTCTTTTCATTTGTAACGGTAAAGACATCTAATGCAAGTCCAAGTCCAAGCAAAGAATAAATATCAAGAAATGTGAGATAATGTGTCATTCTGAACCGTTTCCTGGAATGATATTATATTGGAAACCGGATGTATCTAGATCCTTAGAAAATCAACAGAACTAGAAAAGCACAACTACTCTAATTTTGTCAGCAAATAAAATCTCTTTTTGAAATTTGTTTGGTTTTTACATAACAGATAAGTAAAGTATATTAATAACAAAAATAAGAATACTGATGGTGTAAACAAACTTGAAATAATGATAAATGAAGCGTTAACCGAACTGTGTACTATCATTTACTATGACATATTACACAGGCAGTCGTAAATGTTTTCCGTAATTTAAATTTTATCTGGAGTAATGATGATTAATAGATAACATTTAAATAACATTTTAAAACATTAAAATCTAACATAGCCAGTCTGCATTAAACCTTCACGGATACTAGATTCTTAACGGGCAACTTACCTTGCATAGCATAGCAAATATTGATTTCATCACTAAATTGAAGCGTTATTTGCACTAGTGCCATATGATATATCTTTGCGCGCAAATATTTGGTTACGTTCTGTACGAATATGTTTTCCTAGACAATTATATGATGTTTTTTATCTGCACATCCAGACAACTAGAGAAGAATGTAATAATGTATTTTCTGTAAGAGCAATGAATGACGGTTGCTGTCCAATTTGTCTCAATTTTTCCTGGTTTGTTAGTTATTACTTCTCTTCCTAAGATGCCAGAAGAAACCCATTAGTATGTTTGCAGAAAACTGTACCACAAAACTAAAATACAAATATGTAAAACAAAATCAGAAAAAAATATCAAATGGGTTGTTTAACAGCTCTTTTTTTATCGATGTCAGTTATACCTTTGTTTGTTCTGTCGATTAGTGTATTTCAACGGTATGGCAGCAAAATGTTCTGAATTGAGGAATGAAATTATCAGTAGTCATAATTATTAACAAATTATCACAAAATTGACATCTCTGGGTAAAATTAAATATAATTTTATTATTTTACCTTTCGTTCCCGTTCTATCTAAGAAGTCAACTCTTCAGTGCTGAAATGTCATGGTGTGGTTATTTTCTGTATAATTACTATTCACAAAATATTAAAATCATAAGAAAGACATTGGGTTTTTTTTTCTTTTCTGGTATAACCTTAACAAGATTTGAAGATTTAGGACAACTTTTTTTAAATTTGTGGTTTTCAATACTCTTCAATTTTGAATTTGATTTGGCCTTTCAACTGTTTTGTTTTGAGTGGAACAGATAATTTTGATGCAGAAAAAACGCGCACTTGCAGTACTGAAAGCTGCAATAAACACTAAAAATTGGTGACCAAAACGGACCTTAAAGATTGGCTTAATCCATCTATTTATGTCAAAATTGCCTAAGGAGTAAATGAAAGCCTGATTTGTATAATAAGTTTTATGATCTCATGACAAACCTAATAGGCTCCGAATATTTATCAAAAAATGGTACTACAAGCAAAACTAGTTTACTAATTTGTAAGTGACCTGTCTACTCTGATCAAATTCGAGACTGTAACTCTATAGGAAGGTCATTTTCCAATTACATAGTAGGGATCCGTAATTTCTTTTTCGAATAAGAAAACGGCACACTACTGTCTTTACGATATACTTGTATTTTGTACATATTACCCGTAATGGATTAAATATGAAACCTGAATATAATTGTTTCAATTATTTTGTTGTCAATTTAATACTTCAGACATTTCACTCAATTTTCTTCTCCCCTTACGTTAACACTAGAGAAATTGAACAAAATAAGCCAAAAATAAATATAGTATACCGATGTTCATTTCTCGTAAACTTATTTTGAAAATGCAGATCAAGAGGCGAAAATTTTGTGAATCTCATGATTTCCACAAGAAGTGAGACCGGATGCATCAAAAAGGTTAGTGTCTCCTGCTATGCATACATCATCTGCCAAATATGCAATATGGACTTAAATGAATAATGTTGTCACGTAAACATACCCTCAAGCTTTATATATGATAATCTGTCACAGAATAATTCCAAGTTTGTTGACTATGTTGATTCCTTCTATCCTGTTGATATTTAAATTTTGAATAAAGGATGCCATAGATAAATTTACGATATTATACCTTGATTTACACGTATTAATCGAAACTGACGGAAATCAATTAACTTAAAGACAATAGAAAAGGCTATAATTTTCCCATTATTAACTGTACATCTTACGAAGCAACATTCCCGCATCACCTGTATAGAGAGTAAAAAGTGTTACTAGTTAACAGAACTGACTCCAGTATTCGTAGATTGATTTCCTCCAAACTTCACATTTTTATTGGGATTGATGGAAGGGTTTGTCTTTCAAGAGTTACAAGACTTGAAATAACAGATTAAAGTATTTTGTTTACATATTGAACCACAACTTGAGTTTGCTTGGATTCATTTACTTGAAACTTTACATAATTGTTGGAATTGGTGAATATTACAACCCGTTCGATTATGTCACTACAGAGTTATAGGCTTTGTCTGTCAGATAAATAAAAGGCATTTTTAAATAGCTTGCACTATCTCTAGTATGCTCGATTGATGGACCGTTGCAATATTCTGTGTCATATAATATCAAGGATTAACAGCTTATGTTTAATTTTAAATTTTAGGTGGAATCTATTTTTCGGTATTTCTTTAATAAAAGTTAATGTATTTTTGTCGTGATGTATATGTTTACATTCTTTTGTCTTTTTCTATGGGATTTGCAATATGTTTTGGTATCAAACAACAAATTATCATTTTTCTGAAAGGATGTAAATGTTTTATCACTGTGTTTTATCGCCACCGGAAATTTGGTACCAAACGAAGCAGAGAGAAAGGAGAAAAAAAATAAACAAGGTAAGAAATCCTTTCATTTAAACCATTTCTACCGTTTTGATGAGGTTACAACTTATGAACGATTTTCTGATAGATAGTGCTTTGTTTTGTTATGCCAACATGAAGCAAGCAAGGACAAGATTTTGTGTTATACTTCAAAACTGTGCACTTGGTACCAGACAAATGCGAGGTCAATCGCCCTCCGACGTCCTGTTGGCCATACATTCCACTGTTTTTCATTCTTTTCAAGACACATTTTTAGATCATGATAGTGTGACATCATATTTACTGAAATTTGCTATCAAAAAGATGTTTTCTAAAGAATATCGGCAAAAAAACAGTCAAGCAACTTGCTCATGTTCACAGTAATGCAACTTGTTTTCAAACTGTATGACAACTTGCTAGTTTAAAAAAATATATGCCGTCCATTTCAAGAAATAGTGCTGTAAGTTCAAATACATGTACCTAATTATGCATTATATATCTTAAATATCCGAGTTTACATTTGTCATTCAGATATGAGATGCAACGTAATGCAGTCAAGTTTGATACATTGAACTAATCAAAAATCAGTTTATCTTTTCTCCCAGTCATAAAATTATGATCTTAACAAAAATAAATAATAATCAAGCATTCACAATTTGAATACGATACATACGACAGCGGATAAATGTTTTGACTTTGTTTAACACTTTTGATGTGTCTTTATCAGGCTATTCGCATGGTTAAATGACAGCTGTCATTAGCTGTGCAAATTCAAATGATATTCTATATACACATTTCATGTAAACTAGACTATTTGAACTCATTAACATTGAAAATCTTTTTAAACACACTTATGAATGACTCGCCTTACACTTTGATTACCCCATGTATCATCGTAATGTTTACTTGGAAAAATGTCTCCCCCATATGCTCTCTTTAAACAGATATTCAGTTTGCCAAACAAGGACCAGATCACAAATTGTAGTTTATAAGACAGTTTACATAAATTACTAGTTAAATATCTATTTCTTTAAAGAAAAAACCCGGTTTTGTCTTATGTTGTGCTGTTCACTGTCCCATGTGAGGGCATGTTTGACCGTTCACAAGCATGCATATGTTAAACCGCGCCACATTCTATATGTGCCTGTCCCTAGTCAGTAGCCTGTAGTTTAGTAGTTGTTGTAGGTTGCTGTCTGTCATATTTGTCTTTTGTTTATCGTTTTGTCATAAATCAGATCATTGTTATTTTCGTTTATCAAGTCGGGGCCTTTTATAGCTGACTACTGTGAATTCATTTATTTTCATGGGTACCAATTTTCGTGGATATTTAATTTCGTGGTTTTGCCGAAGTCTGCATACAAGCCTATAGAAAAGTTGTCATTCGTTGAAAATTTAATTTCGTGGTTCACCTGTAACCACTAAATCCGCGAAAATTGAATCAAACGAATAATAATGAATCCACAGTATAAAGTATGGGATTTTCTCATTGTTAACGGTCGTACGGGGACCTCTAATTGCTTAAATTCACTTCATTTGGACCCTGTTGGATAGTCGTCTCATTGACAATCATACCAAATCTCCTTTTTTGATTGATTTTTATTGGAAACTACAAACAGTAGGCTAGTTTAAAGAACATTTTTAATAAAACAAAACATCTTCTTAAGTTAAAAAAAAAGGTACAAGCTCGCGACTTATACTGTTTGAAATTTTTGAAAATGACATGCTATAAAATATCATTTTGAGAAATCATTGATATCGCAGAATGCTATACAAGGGATACAAATCCGGCTGCATAGACTATTTGTATAAAGCCTTATTATATAGAAGATAGAAGACCTGGATTCGCTTAGCTTGTATACAGAACTATTGTGATGATATGTTAAGATTAATAAATTGTATACTTATCTATACACTAGAGCTAGAAATAATAATGTATCTTTTAAGTTAAAGAAATATATAGATATATGAAGATTTGGTATGAGTGCCAGTGAGACAACTCTCCATCCAAGTCACAATTTGTAAAAGTAAACCATTATAGGCCAATGTACGGCCTTCAATACGGAGCCTTGGCTCACACCCAACAGCAAGCTATAAAGGTCCTCAAAAGTGACTAGTGTAAAGCCATTCAAACAGGAAAACCAAAGTAAAATCTGATAATGGCAATTGAAAATCAGTTTATATTCTGATGGTGTATTCTTGTAAATTCTTGAAAAAATCAACGAAATAGTAAAGATTCGATTATTTTCATATATTTGAAGATTAAATAAATGTCGATTTTTAAACACTAAACCATATATATATAGGTCGGGTTACATATCTTTATAAAGGGACGACCAGACCA